ACGGAAGTAGGATTGCCCAACCTTCCTTCCGAGGAGTGGCTGGTGGGTTTGAACCGCCAGCCTTCTGGTGAGCAGTCAAGTGCTTTAGCCACTACCCCATAGGACCTCCATAATAAGTGTACTGTTGTTGTTGTTGTTATGTGGTGTCGAGTCACCCCCAACTCATAGCGACCCCACCTTGGGTTTCCAAGGCAGTGTCCCTACAGAAGTAGGATTGCCCGACCTTCCTTCCAAGGAGTGGCTGGTGGGTGTACTAGGATGTCCTAATATGTACATATGAGGATTTTCTGAGATGAAAAATTTTGTCCACATACAGTACTAATGATGTAGGTCTTCTTGCCATCTGTCTTCTAAATCAGTGTGGGACATTATTTCAACCCATTTGAATTGAATGTGTGTTTTTCTGTTTAAATGAATGTTGTTGTTGTTATGTGCCATTGAGTTGGACCCGACTCATAGCGATCCCTCCTTGGGTTTCTGAGGCAGTATCACTACGGAAGCAGATTGCCCCATCTTCCTTCCGAGGAGTGGCTGGTGGGTTTGAACCGCCAGCCTTGTGGTTAGCAGTCAAGTGCCTTAGCCACTACGCTACCAGAGCTGATAGCAATGGAAAAGGGCCAGTGCTGATTGCAGATTTGTGGATTTTTTCCCCTGTAGACTGGCAGCACACTAATGGGATTGTGTTTTCCCTGTTGGTTTCAGGACATCTGCTGGCGACTGTAGCCACCTTTAGAGAGCCTCCACAGTTTGGAAGCAGAGACTTTATATAGATATGGGTAATCAATTTTTGGCTTCCTTCCAGTTGGCTTCCCTGATAGATCCCTTTTAAAATTCGGAGAACAGGCAAGCCTGGATGTTATCTCACTCTCCCAGCTGCTATGCATATCTATTGACTAGTAAGTACAGTCTGGATCAATAAGGGTCTGGTTGATTAGCTCTCTCTCAGGTGAGGTTTTCTGGTCTCATCTCTATCTCATCCTCCTCCAGGAGATATGGAACCGTGATGCGAAGGTGAACTTTCCCAGCAGGAGGAGGGCACCATGGAGAGCACTGTAGAACAGAGGAGTGTGCTAGTGCGCAGTAAAATCAGTGATTCTGGCAAGAGGAATGGCCTGATTAACACCAGGAACTTGACAGCAGAGAGCAGAGATGGCCTGGTGTCAATTTTCCCAGCACCCCAGTACCAGAATCGCCGGCTGATGGCCAGTGCCACACCAGCTATTCTGGACAGCAGCAGAAGTGAGCCAGTCCAGCAACTGTTGGACCCCAACACCCTTCAGCAGTCGATGGAGTCCCACTACCACCCCAACATCATCCTCTACTCAGAAGGCGTGTTGCGCTCCTGGGGAGAAGGCATGGCTGCAGACTGCTGTGAGACCACCTTCATTGAGGACTGCTCACCCACCAAAGACAACCTGGAGTATCCTGATGGGAAGTTTATTGATCTTTCAGCTGATGACATCAAAATCCACACCCTTTCCTATGACGTGGAGGAAGAGGAGGATTTCCAGGAGCTGGAGGTCAGAGGATGTTTGTCAGCTCTCGTTTTCATGGGCCATCTGGTGTGGGATGGTGGGGGTTTGGTGGGGGATCCATAAGTGCTAAGCAACTGTTAACGGAATAAAACCAGTGTACAAAAGAGAAGAGCAACTGAAGGCATTTTTGATGTCTCGTAACTCTTGAATATTTGTGAAAAATGGAAGGATAGTAGAAAAACTAACATTAAGACACAGTGGGTGCTTCATCAGTGATTCTAGTCAGAAAGGACCAGGCTGTTGAGTGGTCCTGCAGATAAATTTAAGGGTGGCCAGCACAGATGGGCTATTTGGAAGATTCCCAGTGTCTTTCATCTCATGCAAAAGTGAGTACATGTTATTAGTGTATGGCCCTAGAGCCCCATAAGCCTGGAAATGTATTTGTTGAGACAACTTGGGAACTTTTCTTTCTGTCCCAGGTGATTTCCTTAATTTGGCATTCCGAAGTTTTTACTAAAGCCTTGTTGGTATAGCTAAAACCTGTTGGAAGAAATAGTAGATAACATAAAGGGAAGATGACTTGAATTATATATGTCATTTCTTTCATAGATAGGAGGGCAGGTGAGGGCATTTGAAATGCATGTGTAGGAATGTGCACATTGGACATGATGTAAGGTGACACAATGTTTTCCAGTTGGTGTGGCACATCCCCGCCTCTTCAAGATGGCATTGGGTTTGAGACAGAAAGTATGGATGCTGCACATGTGTGAAGGGGGTGGATCAGAATGAAAGCTGTGGCATTTGTCAGATGAGAGGTGGTTGACTAGGTTTGAGAAGGCACTTTGGCCACAATGAGGACAGAGGGTGTTCTTCAAAGACGTAAGTAGCAATAAATAGTGGGTAAGACACTTGCCTGCTAACCAGACGGCTGGCAGTTCAAACCCACCAGCCACTCCTCGGAAGGAAGGTTGGGCAATCCTACTTCCGTAGTGATACTGCCTCGGAAACCCAAGGAGGGGTCGCTATGAGTCGGGTTTGACTCGACGGCACATAACAACAACAACAACAATACTCAGTAAGTTTGTGGGAAATGAAACTATGGAGTGGGTTTGATACTTGAGAGGAAGTGTGATCAAAGGGAAAAGATGTCTGTTTTGTCTGAGGTAGGCAAAAACATTTCACAGCTGGAGGAGAAATTTCAGGGAAGAGAAATCTGGATCAAGGTGGCTTTGGCCACAATCCTGGGGAGGCCGGGAGTCTAGAAGGCCTGACCTTTCATGAGAAATCTAAGTTGAAGAGGAAGGAAAGGAGAGAGTCCATGTTGTCTGGGAGTAACATAGCCAGGGGAGGTTAGGGCATGAAGAAGTTGAGATAGCTCACTGCAGCTGTCTGGAGGAGGTAACCATGAGATTGTTGAAAAGACAACCAGTCTGTTTGAAGGTTTCTTGTGACCTGTGATTGCCAGCATTCTCCAGCAGGTAAGGTAAGGCTCTCAATGGAAAGTACATAGTCTGACTTCCTGCCGACAAGATGGGGCAGACAGGAGAAAGCAAAAGGGAGAAGTTTTAGAATGGAATAAGACTCACTTCACCGAAAAAACACTGGCCATGGGATCCCAGGCTGGACAGCAAGTCAAGTGGGTTCATAAAGAGGTAATGGACCCAGCAAACTAGAGAGGCCAAGGATAGGAGGTACCAGAGGGAACCAGAAACAGTTGGAGAGGTGATTATAGTCAGGAGGAAAATTCAGAAATGGAAAATAAAGTCAAATGTTAGAATGAGCCAATGATGAAGCACATGAAAGTGGCTGATGGAGTTGAGAGAATCTTTTGGAGTGGATGAGGTTCATGGACTGGAAAGCCAGGAGATCAGAAGAGATTCAGAGAAGAGAAGCAGTGTGAGCTCAGGCTAAAGGTTTTAGAAATTGGCAGAGTGCTTCAGCTTCAGTTCAAAAGTGTATAGTGTCAGTTGTTTTCCAGGCCTGAGGTTTTTGCTGAAAAAAAAAGCATAAATGTTTCCTGCCCTAATGAAGTTTAGGAAGCAGATACATGAAAAGTCAATTTCATTGTAACATATGATGATAGAACACCCAGTTTGCTCCAAAAGCATTCATATGGTGGTGGGGCTCCGAGCTCAATCATGGGGGTGGGGGCTCAAATATTCCAGTCGAAGTGCTGCCACTGAAGTAAGAGTCTGAGACAGTCAGGCAAAGGATGCTGGGGGTGGTGGCTGGAGAATTCCACTAAGAGGAACATCACAAGCAGATAGAAGCACAGAGGCCTGGGATGTGGGCGATTAGCAGGATGTAATCACTGGTTTAAAATTGCTAAACCTGTAGATGGTGGTGAGGGGTGCAGGAGAAGGACCAAGAGCAATTGGGTTTTAGTGGAATCACTGACTCACATGCCTACAAGAAGGAAAGGAAGGACACAAGAATGAAAACATCCCCAAAGGGGCTTCAGGGTGGGGTGGGCCAGAAACTGGAGACAAAAAGTGAGGAGAGTGCTGTGCAGAGAGGTTGGACATCATAGGAGGCAGGTCTTGACATCCCTACTGCTCATGGAGACACCTTAAGGGGTTGCAGGCAGGAGGGCATTCTGGGAAGTGTCTCTGGCAGTAGAGCAGGGCATGGTTTAGGGAATGGAGGTGAGAAGGGACGGACAGGGGCCAGGGCCAAACCAGATGTGCAAAGCCCCATTGGGGGCTGTTGTAAGAGACTATAAGAGAGAGTTAGGACAGTGTTAGAAGTGGCGAAGCAGCACTTAAAAATGGAACTGCTCCTTGATAGGAGACATTGGGGACTAGCCAGGTCTCCACTGTGGCACAGCTGTTTCTCAAGCCCCAGAAGTCAAATTGTATAGCAGAGGATTTTCAGCTTTGTTATGAGTTTATGGCAATTCTGCTCTAATATATAATATGCATCAGTAATAGAAGGCTTGGCATATTTATTAGATTGAAATGTAAAAGAAATCTCTGAGTTTCTTCATTGTTGCTCACTCATGGGCTTCATTTCTTCTCTCCTTCCCTTTATTTATATCCACGCACTTTCCTTGAATAACTATAATATGTTAAGGTCAGTGAAAGAGGAAGAAGTGATTGAAATATTTTCTTAGTCCTTTATTCACTTCCATCCTGTGGCTTTTTAATGAATTAACTTCAAAGAATTTTATCTTCTTTAAGACTGTCAGGGCTTCTGATTGAGCTTGCAAACCAATACAACCCATATTTAAATGTAAATCTTTTACTCATAGTATATCTGAATCTATTTTAATGAAATAATATTCATACAATGACCTCAGCCAGTAGTTGTTGTTTATGGAACTCTGCAAAGGCTTGGGATGACTACAGTCCCTTACATTATATATCAGGAGATGAGGAAGGGGAGATAGACTTGTTCATCCTGATGAGTCCAAGACTTTGACCAGGTGGGTCATGTAGACTTCTGGAAAAGGTCATTACCGCTCTCACGTACCCTGTGCTAGCAGCCAGCTGTGGGAACCCATCAGAAATATATATATATATATTTTTTTTTTCCCCCTAAATTTTATGTGAGAGCTCTGGTGGCATAGTGCCTAATGCATTAGACTTCTAACCAGAAGGCTAGTAGTTCAAACCCACCAGCCACTCCTCAGAAGAACAATTGTGCATCTACTTCTGTAGAGATACTACTGCCTTGGAATCCCAAGGATGGGTTGCTATGAGTTGAATTGACTTGATGGCAGTTAGTTTGGTTTGGAAATTTTATTTATTGTTGCTGAGAATATACACAGCAAAGCACACACTAATCTAAGTTTCTTCTGTATGTACAATTTAATGACATTGGTTACATTCATCAAGTTGTTCAACCATCCTCACTCTCCTTTTCTAAGTAGTTCTGCCGTCATTAACTTAACCTTATTGTTTCCTAGTCTTTCAACCCCCTTTGGGTATCTGAGGTGGTAAATCTTTACAGAAATAGATTGCCCAGTCTTCCTTCTGCAGAGTGGCTGGTGGATTTGATCTGCCAACCTTCTAGTAGCAGTGAAATGCCTTAGGCACTAAGGCACCAGAGTTCCTTTGTTTTTTGGGTTTTGGTCTATATGTACAATTTAATGACACTGATTATAATCATCAAATTGTTCAACCATCCTCACTCTCTTTTTCTGAGTTGTTCTGCCCTCATTGACATAATCTTACTGCTTCCTCATCTTTCAAGTTGCAATTGTTAATTTGATCCCATGTAGATAAAAGAAGCATAATGCTCAAAGCAGGCATTTTTGTCTTTCAACTTTTTATTGGGATTTGGGTGAAAGTTTACAGAGCAAATTGATTTTCCATTCGATAATTTCATACATATTTTGCTTTGTGACTTTTGATTACAATTCTCAAAAATTAACAGCAGTCTTCCCTCTTCCTCCCTGTGTTTATTGTTTCCATTCATCTTTCTTTCCTATCCCTTCCTGCCTTCTGTGCTTTATCCTTGGGCAAATACTGACCTTTTGATCTCCTATGGTTGATTATTCTAAGGAATGTGTATGCCCCTAGTGTTATTGTACACCTTATAGGTCTCTCTGACTTTGGCTAAAATTTGAACCATCGGAGTGGTTCAGTTCCAGCCTGAAGGGTGTCTTAAGGGGCATAGTCTTGGGAGTTCCACCAGTCTCTATCAAACCAGTAAGCCTACTCTTTTATGTGATTTTGAGTTTTGTCCCACACTTTTCTCCCACTCTGTAAGGAGCTCTGGTGGTGTAGTGCCTAAGGCATTTGACTTCTAACCAGAAAGTTGGCAATTCAAACCCACCAGCCACTCTGCAGAAGGAAGACGGGGCAATCTACTTCCATAAAGGTTTACCACCTCGGAAACCCAAAGGCAGTCACTGTGAGTCAGAATCGACTCAGTGGTGGTGAGTTTGGTTATTTTTGGTTTCTTCCACTCTATCTGGGACTTCCTATTATAATCCCTTTCAGAGCAGTCAGCAGTGGTAGCCTTACACCATATAGTTCTTCTAGTCTCAGGATCGTGGAAAGGTAGCCATTTTTAGTTAAGTTAAACTCTTACTTGGTTTA